GCTATCTCATGTCCTGTACTGATGCAAAGCACCTGCCAGGTAAAACATTACAGCATGTCCTCATCCACCTTATTTACCAGATCTGACATTGTGTACCTTCTGGCTCCTCCACAAAGTCAAAATGACCAAGAAAAGAAAACATTTTTATTCAGAACACTGAGGCAGCCACAAAAATGCAAATAAAGATACATTAACCACACACAAAAACAAAGACACATTAATCACAATGTGTACTATACTTAAATTTAAAGAAACATTCACTGTATTTTTTGATCACACTGCATATACTGAGACCCAAACTGGTTCCAAGGCCAGTTCCTTCTGGTCTCAACTTCACTTGGTCCCCAAGCTCCTCTCCTTTTCTTGGGGTCTCCATCCCCACCTCTCTTCTTGCACCCACCAGGTGCCTGGGCCCCCAGTCATCATGTCCTCATTGTTTACCAGGGTTCTGCCTGCCTGATCTGGTCTATCACAAGGCGATACACTGGAGGGGGACACAGCCTCTGAAGGCAAATGGCTTGGGTTGAAATTCTAGCATTATGGCCATAGCTACTTCATGTGAGCCTCAGTTTCCTCATCTATAAAATAGGATAATAATAGTTAATGTATCTAAAAATCCAAAATATTCCCAAATCTAAAACTTTCTTAACCCAAATTATTAGTGGCAATCAAAGGCAAGTGCACTAAAATGTCATAAATAATTACCTTCATAAAGCATATCATAAACAGCTTTTTGGTGTGTGTGTGTGTGTGTGTGTGTGTGTGTGTACTTGTATGTATCTTCTTTGTGGTACTGAGGATGGAACCTTCATGTTGCTATGGTTTGTGTCTAGATGTCCTACCCAAAGCCTCATGCAGTCACTGGTGGAGCTTTTCAGAGGTGACTGGATCTAGAGTGTGTGATGCTGGGATCAAAGATATGTAATAACTAAATTAATCCAGTGCTTGGTTTGGCATAGTCCTGGGTGTGGATAACAGGAAGGCCCTCACTGGGGGTGAGTATTACCCACTCTAAGGACATGTAGCTTGGACAGAATACAAAGGAGAGAAAGAGGGCTGCTGTCATCGCCACCTCTTTGGTACTATGCTGCTTTGCTACCTTCTCCCCACCATTAAGGCTCCTGGGAGCACCCAGAAACCACGTGTGATGGGACCCAGCGAACACACATCCCTAGCTCCCTCTTCCTTCCTGCCTGCCGCACTGAGTTCCCTGTAGGATGAACTCCCGAGGCCCACAGGCGTGAGCAACTTGCAAGGTAACTCACTATCTAATTACTTTCCTTTACCCTCTTCCCTTCTGGTCATCGTGGTGTCCCCTCCAAGAAAACACACGCACTGAAATCATTGTCAGGAGGTCTGTTTGTAGGGAAGCCCAAGCTAGGAGGCAGATGACACTCCCCTGGGTCACTGGTCACCAGAGAAGATGGCTGGGTCAGATAGCACTTCCTAGCCACAGGGTCCAGGAGCCTGGACATGCAAGATCTAAAGTTTTCCTTTGACCAGAGCAATTTCAGGTGAAAGTCATCTTCAGAAACATAAATATCTAGCCCTCTGAGTGTACAAATATCACTTTTGACTGAAGACATTTTCTTCTTTTGGAACCAAATCAAACATTTCTCCTCAGCAGTCAGTCAGATTTGGACACACAAGCTGGGCATTGTGGCACTTTGAGAAACTAAGGCAGGAGGACCACAAGTTCTAAACCAGAATGAGTACTTTAGTGACACAGTGAGACCCCGTCTCAAAATAAAAATAAAAAAGGGCTCAATGTGAAGGTCCTGGGTTCCATCCTTATACCTGGACATGACTCAGAATTATCTCCATGAACTCTGAAGAGCATTTGACCTAAGTATGCTCCTTCCCAGAATGGCTCCATTCATGCCATCACAATGGCAGCAGGACACTGGGTGTCCACATCCACTGTATTCCAGGCCCACTCCAGTGTATGCCATCTCATTAAGCCATCACCAATCAACCCGTGAGTGGCAACGCCAAGCCCAAGACCCACATCTGTTCAGCTCCAAGAGCCAAACCCTCCGACCCTTGAGCACCCCCAGGGTCTCAGAATGAAGTGCAGAGTCCCCACAGAAGCACCTCACCACCCCTTAGCTGGAGTAGACTCTCACACACAGAGGCTTAGGACATCTGAACAGCAGGGATGAGGCCTGGGAACCTCATGGTCTCACCCCTTGCGGGGGGTACTAATGCTTATTTACAGAGAACAGCTGCAGTAATGGAAACCCCTCCAGTATGTAACTCCCCGCAAGTGGGGTTCAGTGCGGACCAGGGATGCATCCCAAACCGGCCACTTGTCACCTTGGGCCCACTCTGGATCCAGACTGTCATCACCTCTCACCCAAAGACAGCAATTATTCTTAATGGGTGCCTTTGTCTCCTTTTGTCTTTTGTTCCCATTTTCTTCCAAACATTTTCAAATACAGAAAAGCTGAAAGAACTGTAATGAGTGCTCTTAGCTAATCACCCAGATTCTACGGTGTACACTTATTGCTATTCACAATTTTACACTTACTTTTAAATATGCCACTTTTATATTATCATGTATCTGTCTATTCACCTCTCCTTTTTCAAATAGATTTCCAAGTGCTGCAGGTGTCAGTACACTGCCCCTTGTCTTCATTCATTTGGGCTGCTAGAACAAACACAGTATATATTGGGTGGCTGAAAAACAAAAGAAATGTATTTCTCACATCCCAGAGGCCCGAGAATCCAAGATCAATGCACTGGCAGATTTAGTCTATGGTAAAGAGCTTCACTGTCACATACAGGAAGGGACAAAGTGGATCTCTAGGGACACTTACAAAGGCAGAGTGTCAGGAATAGTCAGAAACTTTTCCACCCGTTGCCTTCCCAGTTCATAATTCACCAAGTGTCATTACCACATAGCACCCTGGGAAATTATAAAGTACAGCCTTGCTCTGAAGAAGCACAGGACAGATGATGTCCCCTCCTAACAACCAGAACTGTCACTTGTCATAAGTTTACCACCCACCAGGCCCTTCAACAAGTTGACAGTGTGAACATCTGGCCTCACACCTGGACGGTGGTGTCACACCTCCACTCCACCTGGGAGAAAGTAGAGGGTGGCAATGGCTCCCATGGGATGGGGACCCTTACCAGTTCCCCTCCCCTAGGTTTCTCCATCTCCCATTCCTCCAGAACTGGGAAGGAGGAAGGGTGAGAAGGCAGAGAGACGAAATCAAAGTACGGTGATGTGCCAGGAAGGCTTTACTAAGGTGCCATCCAAGCAAAGGTGTGAAGGAGGCCAGATGTATGGACATCAGATTCTCGCATCTCCTGCGAGAATGAGCAGAACCTTGCAAGTTGGAACTTGCTGTGTCTTTTATGTTGTAAGATTCTAGATGGCCGAGACAGGTCCTTCCTTCAAGACCCAGTGATGTCAGATGTCCCTGAAGAGACACAGGAAACACACAACCTCCCTGGGTGGTGTGATGGGAAGGCTGCCGGGGGTAGTGGTGGCTGGGACAACGGCAGACTTTGCTAACACCTGCCTACCCTCCTCCCCTCTCCTGCACTGCTTCAGCACACACAGGCTGCTTTCCAGCTGCCACCTCATGCGCCATTTCATATCTGCCAGGGCCACAGGCCAGAAGGGGCAGGGACTTAATCTTCCAAACCCCAGCAGGCCTTACTCAGTGATGAGAGAGTGTCTATGTATACAGCCTGGCTCCCTCACCCGCGATGAGGTGCCGATGGCTGTATGAGCTCTATCTCCCCAGCAGGTTTAAGGAGCATCACCACTGTGAGAGCCAGCTCAACTGTACACTCTTCATGTGACACTCCTGCTCTGTCCTGCTGCATCTTACTAGTGTCATCTCTCTGATAACAATGTCCTTTGCCTCAATGTCTTCTCAGAGAATTCGATCCAAGACAGGGATAAATCTCTACCTTTGAAAATGCACACACACACACACACACACACACACACACACACACACACATACACACACACTCTTTCGTGAAACTGTCACTCTTGGGCCTCATGTTTAAAACCTTCAAACATGTACTAATGAAAATTTTAAAAATTAAAAATGAATAAAATCTGTACTCAGGGCTAAGGCATGTCTCAGTTGTAGATCATGTGTTTAGCAAATATAAGACCCTAGTTCTATCTATGACTCCAAGGGGAAAAAAAGCAAATTCCTGTTTGTGGTACCAGATCATCAAATCCTGGAGCAAAAGACACATCTTTGAGATGTAACTAGTGTTTTCATGTTAAATAGCCCCACCTGCATCACACTGGACTGTTGTCACCAGTGTGCCAGGCTGGAGAGACTTCTTACTGGTGAGTCTTCCTCCTCCAGACCTCAGTACCTAAAGCAGGTACAAAATGAACCGAACGCTCAGCAGCCTGCTGGGGACACAGCCAGGCCCACGGTGGTATCACATTTCCCTGGGCTGCGCAGGGGAAGGAGGCCAACCGTTTGCCTGAGAAGCATCCATGCATCATGCAGTCCTCTTGACCTCACTTTTCTGTCCTGCCAAATCAATTTCTGAAAGTCAAAATGACTGATAGTTTTATACCCTGGACAATCATTCTCCTGATTAAATAACTCAGCATCAATGACAAAAAAGCTCCCAGAATAGTGGTGGTCACATGAATCTATGTCTGTGATAAGATTTCACAGAAATACACACACGTGTGTGCACACACATGCACGTACACACACACACACACAGCAGTGCACATAAAAAAACCAATGAAAGCTGAACAAGGCCCAATCTAGTTTCTACTTCCTGATGTGGCTAACATACTCTGGGGTGTAAGATGTCATCCTCAGAGGATGAAGAAGACATGAAGACTTTCTGTGCTATATTTGCAACTTCTTTTATGAGCCAAAAATTATTTCAGTCTGAAAAAGTGTTATTACTCCAAAAATAGTTTTAAATAGTAAAATGAAATAAAAGTGCTCATTCCTCAGTAAAGCCTGCAGGAGGAGACACCGTAAAGCCGGCCTTACCTGTGAGCTGGGGATCAGTGCCTTCCACCAGTGCCCGCCCTTCACCAGGTCCACTTCACACAAAGGCACAGACACTTTGCCAATGACACAGTGGCGTGAGAACTTATCGAAGTCTACCACAGTCAGGAGCAGGGTCCTCCTCTGGGCTTCTAGGAAGGGGATCTCGAAGGTGTAGCGCTCCTCAAACACAGGCTTCTGGGTCTTGCGCTTGACCCCCGTCTGCTTTGAGTTCTTCTGATCGGGCAGGAGGCAGATCTTGACGTAGGGGTTGGAGTGAGCCATGTCCTGGCGCGAGCCATCATGGGCAATGGGGGGCGGCAGGTCCCGGGCCTCGATGACCCTCACGGTGAGATGGTTATGCAGCAGGTCGTACTGTGTGCTGAAGTGTAGCATGCCCAGCTGGTACTTGGACAGGATCTCCTCATCAGTCAGAGAGTCCACGTCGTCGCTGCTGGAGTCTAGGGAGTAGAGACGGGGCTCGAACTTCCTGAAGTAGTCGTCTGGGGTGTAGGTCCGTCGGAGCACCGAGGGCTGGATTGGCTCCTTCTTGGCACTGAGGATGCCAAACTCGATAGGTTTGATATCAATGAGCGGAGAGCTTGGCCGTCTTGAGTCAAGACCTAAACAGAACCAGAAATAGCAATGAGTATCACTCCCTGGGCCAGGGGGTTCCCACATTGTTCCCTCTGCTTCAAAATGCTCTTTACCACTGGGCACCTGCAACTGCAGTTACCCCTCAATGCATGGGGACTGGCTCCAGGATCCCCATGGATACAAAAAATAGGTGGATGCCCCGGCCATTTATATACAATAGCACAATATTTACACACAACAAATGCACATCCTCCCATATACCTTTTTTTGGCAGAGGGTGGGAGGGGTTACTGGGAATCAAACTCAAGACCTTACACTTGCCCAACAGGTGTTGTGCCACTGAGCTATATCCCTGGCGTCCTGTAATTACCGTGGTTTATTTTTCCTCCCATAAACTTTAAATCATTTCTAGATGACTTGTAATCTCTAGTGCCATGTAAATACTTTGTAATTACTTGTTCTATTATAGCATTTAGAGAACAATGACAAGAAATTAATCTGTGCATTTTCAGCACAGAAGCATTTTTCCTCCCGAGTATTTCTGATCTTGGTTGGTTGAACTGGAGGATGCAGAACCATGGATACAGAGGGCTGACTATACTCTGATTTGTGTGTCAGCATCACCATCGCTGTCACTACCGCCATCATCCCAGCAGCCAGGGGTCCGGCCCTGTGTTTACCTATCTAATTTCACAGCCCCTTTGATTATTAGGTAATCTCTATTATCCCCACTGTACAGATGAGGAGAGAGAAACTTCAAGTCACTTCCAAAGGTCACATCCTTATAAATGGAGGTACCATGTGTCAAGCCTCGTTTGTCTCGCTGTGACCATCATCTTGCAATCCACTTTGACAGGTTGGATGGACCCTGGAGCCATGTGCCTAGGTCAAATTCCAATTCAGCTAGTTATTCATGAGCCCTGTGACTCCTGGCACATGCTGTAGACACTGGACCTCAGTTTCCTGCTTCTGTAAAATAGTAATGGCAGCTACTTCAAAGACAGTATGAAGATTCACTGAGCCCATGTGTGGAAAGGACTGGGCACAATGGGTGCAGAGCAACAACCCCATAAATGGCAAAAACTAGACCTCTTCAAACCTGATGGTTCCAAGGCTGCTTCTCCCCTCTTCAGCAGTCAGCAGAGTTCCCAAGCCCAGCATTCCAAGTCTTTGCTCCTCCCTCTATTCTGACAGCAAGCTCATGGTGTTACTGCCCATTGCCCAAACATCTGTCCTGTCGGCTAACATTGTGAGACTCTTGCCTGATGCACAAGAGGTGCAACAATAAACATGAAATCCAAACTACCTGTGCTCAGAGCTGGGAACAAGATGGTAATCATCCAGGTCAGCACTGGCCTCAGACATACAATGCATGCCAGCAGCGCAAGCCACTCAGGTAACATAAAATGTTCCAGAAGTCATAACATTTAAAATGCACAAAGAAACAGGTGGGATTTAATTTAAATAGCTACTTTCATTTGACCTATTAGTTGACTGGGCCTAATCAGAAAATACAAAATACTTCAAAATCCAAAACTTTTTGAGTGCTGATATTCACTCCACAGGGAAAAGGCCACTCTGACCTCTTATGGAAGGTAGCAGTCAAAAAGCAGGTGCCCTCAAAATGTTATATAAAATTACTTCCGGGCTGTACACAGAAGCTCTGAAACCCAGGTGAATTTCATGTCCAACCATGGGTCCTAAATCTGATGTTTTATGATATATATGAAATATTCCAAAATCTAAAATCGAAAATGTTTCTGGTCCCAAGTCTAAGGGATATTCACAATCTGTATTCCAAAATATTGTCATTTTGGCAGGTAATCAACAAAAAACATTTTAGTGAGGTCCTTTAAAGTCTGTTTTTCCTAGCACCTTCAAAGTCCAGCCTGTGTCTTACAGTCACATCATCTTTTGATCTAGCCTGTGGCCACTTACAGGCCAACAACTGCATGTGACTGTTGGCTATTGGATTGGACAGCAGATGTAGGACAGTCCTCTCCTTTCACAGACAAAGCAAGACCTCCAGAAGACCAACATCCCTTCAGTCTCCTGCAGACTTGAAGCCCCCGAATTCCTTTCTCCTCCTCCTTTCCCCACCTACTCCTAGGAAAGATTAGATACAGGTCATCTCCACTAGGGTAAATTTGCCTTATGGATTTGAAGCACTTTCCTCCTGCTAAGTGAATCTCAAACATTAGCTCAGTAAGATGGCAAATACTTCTGTAGTGTGACAGACGACAGGAGCCCCTGGTCTGTATCTTTCTTTCTCTTCCCCACTCAAATCGTACCATTTGGTCAAACACATGTGCAACGAACTCAGCAAAGTGGGAGGCCAGATTGGTCTTAGGTTCATATTTTGTTTAGGTATAAGCTAAGGAATTTCATTTACAGTGCCAGTTTCTCTTCAGAAAGATCAGACAACACTGGGCCCATAACCCCCACATAGCCACCAATGGCTATGCTGCAGTAGCAGCCACCTGCTCCCTTCAACAAGACATTGACTTTCCACTTGGCCATAGTCGCCATGCAGCCCTAGTGTCTCTTCACACAGAACATCAGCTACCATCTGTCACTGCATGAGGCTAAGTTTATGTCTACTAACCCTCTGTGCCCGGCCACTGACACACCCCAGGGGCCCAGAGATGGCAAGCTGTATAACGAGGTAGCAGGACCAGATATAACACACATGACAATGACAACTCATTTAGCATCAATTAAACTTGTGATCAGTAGCAGCATAGATCAATCAAAGCGATCACTTCTAACCAACCTTCAGCAGAAATCATGCAGGTTGGGCACAACCCACTTTCACTGTGGTGTCATTACCTCTTTTGTTACTCATCTCCTGGACTGTTAACACAGTTTTATTTCCTCCTCCCACCAACCCTGCCCTTCATAACCCTCCCCGGAGATGCTGGTAGGTGTCCCAGAGAGCCTGCCAGACCCTAGCAGTCACTTACTGGAAACCCTCCGGGTCAGGCTATACGTGGACTTGGAAGTGTCCGAGGACGAGCGCCTCCCATCTGGGGAGCTGGTCCGTGGAGTCAGTGGGACGTCACTGGCTGTGTGGACAGAGTCACCGTCCTTGTCACTGCTCCGGCTGGCTACCCTGTAGAGGTAAGGAGAGGTCTCAGAAGTCGCCAAGGACTCCCGAGGGATACGTCTGGGCTCCATGGCTAGTTGTCCCTTGCCCATACACTGTCTCCCTACATATGCCTCACAGACCAGGAGCTGGGAGCAAGCAGAGCAAACATTCAGTGGCAGAGCACAGGGACTGTCAGATCCATGGAACGGCAGCTCTCAAACCCTTTGGCCTAACCTGGAACAATGTAAATCTGAACTAGTGTTGCATTCTTAAACCCTTAGTGTTCTGCACAAAATGTGCAGGGGTAGGAAGGAAGATTTCCCAGTTTATAACAGTCAGCCAAGAATCTGCCTAGTCTCAGTGCATCCTCTGCGTGGAGGGATGTGAGCAGAGCTGGGCTATTAGCACTTGGGAGCGCCACAGTAGTCAAGGGCAGGCCTGTCAATAATCAGGCTGGAATGAACCATGTGGCCGTTTACATGCATCCAAACTTCTGTAAGTATCACTGTGTCTATAATTTTAAAATATTCTATAATGATGTCATTCAAAGGAGTGGCAGGAAAACAGTTATGGAATGACCCTGAGACTCAAGGATTTAAGAACAGAAGCTACATGGAATAGCAGCAGCAGCTGTGACTCAGTGTGCTCCCAAAGGAGATGAGAAATGCAAACAGGCTGGAGAAGGGGAAGCAGACAAGGAAGGAGATGATACAAGGCAGTAATTAAGATCTTAGTCTTTGGGTGGCAACTCGGACTAGGTAATCCTGGGCAAGGCCCCTCCTCTCTCTGTACCTCCCTTTCCCCAACGATACCGCTGTCCATATCAAGTGAGTTATCACATATAAAGTACTAGAACAAAGCTGCGCGTGGTGAAACATGCCTGTAATCCCAGAGTTCTGGGAGGCTGAGGCACGAAGACTGCAAATGTCAGCCCGGCCTGGGCGACTTAGTGAGACCCTGTCTCAAACAATAAAAATGGCTGGTGATGCAGCTCAGTGTGAAGGTCCTAGATTCCAGCCCCCGTTCAACTGGGAAAAAAATAGCTAGAACAGCGCTTGGTGCTATAGCTGATATTACCACAGGGATGGCTTCAGATCCTCAAAATACTCGCCCAGCCAGGAAAGACGCTGTGGGAGGGGGTGATGTGGGCGCGAGGTGCTGCTGATAACACGGCCCCGAGCCGTGATGGCTGCAGATTTACGCCTGCCCACACTGCAGCCCCTCAACTGGACATTTAAGCCTGTAGGGAACTCAGCTTGAAAAACGCAAGTTTTGCTTCCTGTGAGGTTTTCAGATACAACCTGTGCATGAAATGAGACTGGTTTATTGTGCTTTCAAAGCGACAGCAGGTCATGGCCAGGACAAGACTGTAGTTGCTGTAAGAGGGAAATGGAATGTTTGCTTGCTCTCTGCTCCTTGCCTGAGAAGGGGCAGGGAAGAGGGGGCCAGGGCATGGGGCCAAACCGAAGTGATCATTGTCTCCCAGAAATGAGAGGAGCAGCTCCCAATCATGATGATCCCAGCACTCTGGGAGACTGAGGCAAAAGGGTTCCAAGCTCAAGCCCAGCCTATTAAAAACTTAGCAAGATCATGTCTTGCAAGGGAGGAAGAAAGAAAGAAGGGAAAGTGGGGGGGGGGGACAGAGGCGGGGAGAGAGAGAGACAGAAACAGAGAGACAGAGAGAGAGATAGACAGAGAGAATAGAAAGAAAAGACAGCAGTACCTCCCAAATAAGACAGAACCAAAATGTCATGGCCTCTGGGGCACCTGTCCCGTATGTGACCCTGCTTCCCAGCTGCCATGGCAGCCACCCCTGCTGTGAGATTCCACCAGCCTTCCAGGATGAGCTTAAATGTCACCTGATGCCATCAGACACAACTGCAGCTGCCAGGCTGCCCTGTGCTTCCTCCAGCACACTGAACCGTGGTGTTCCCTCTGCCCCAACGCCCTTCCAGTCCCCCTCTGCCTGTCTGGTTCCTTCTCATCACTCAGGTTTCCACCTCAGTGGTGTCTCCTCAGAGAGATCCCCAATCTGTCCCTGGCATCTGCTCCTACCCTCCTTCCCTACACCCCCTCTTGCCCACCTCCACTCCCCCACACCTGTCCTCTCCTCCATTCTGCACATAGCTGTCGTCAGTGGTGGTGGCTGTGGTGCCATGTGTCAGGGGCACATCCACCCGGCTTACCACAGCCCACCTGACCCAGCGCCATGCCTGCGCAAGGGGATCTCTGCACTTTTCTTCTTGGTGAACGAATGAACGCACTCTCCTTGTGCTTCTTAGCCGACTCAGCCTGGATCACAATTATCCAAGTGCAGGTCTTGTCCCCTTTCACATGCCAAGGTATGTATTTTTTGGTGAGGCCCTGGGGATTGAATAGAAGGCCTCTGCATACACTTCTGAGTGATGGGATGTGTACTTGTTATGACTGAGGGCACCAGACACAGAGCACCTGTAAATTGCCAGGCACCATGCTAAACGCCCCATTCGCACCAGCTCATTTTAATCTTTGATCCAGAAGCTGGCAGTCAAGAGCACCTCTCCCTTACAACAGATGGGAGCGATTGGGCTGGGACAGGGATAGCCAATTCGCACCACTGTGGAGTGGGAGGACCCCGTGGAGCCAAGTGATGCTGAAGTAGGGACAGCACACTCCTGTCACGGCCTGGGCCTCCCCTGTGAGGCCTGTAAGAGCCGAGCACACACCCGGCACTCAGCACAGGCTCGAACCAACAAACAACTGGCATCTATTCACTCTGAAACCATCGGTTCACTCTGGCATTTTGCCTAAAAGGAGCCAGTTAAACTGTGTGTGGTAAGGCACATCTGTGATCCCAGCTACTCTGGAGGCTGAGGCAAGAGACTACAAGTTCAAGCCCAGCCCCAGGAACTTAGCAAGACGCTCTCTCAAAAATAAAAGGGCTGAGAGTGTAGCATGGTGTAAGAGCGCCATCCTAATCCATTGAGGGCCTGGGTCTCATTCCGGGCACTGCCAGGAGATTTTGCAGGGTTCCTGATGGGCACCAGCCCAGTCTCACCAGCCCGGGTAAGGCAGGCTGTGAAACACAAGTGTGTGTGACACTGGATAGTGTGTCCCCCAAGAGCAACACAGGCCAGCCCACCTGCCACGTGTCACTCCACAGAGACACGGGCCCTGGTTCACGGCTCAGACATCACAGCAGGCACAGCGCTGCAAAACCTATACACTTGACATTTCTCCTCCCTGCCTGTTTGATAACAGGAAACTGCCCACTTAGTAAATAAATCTGTGGAAAGCATAAGCTGCAAATTCACTTGCTCGATGATTTAACCCTCCTCTCCTTTAGAGATTCCTCTTGCCGTTTTGAACGATGCTGAGTGCCAAAAATGAGTTCAGTGCTGCTCTGAGGTTGGGGCAGACCCGACAAGTATGAAAGTCACACACAGCTGTTCATAGTGCAGACTACACAACTCAAGATGATACCGTTCACAAAGACCACCATGGATGGGATGCTGGTTCTGGAAAGGACACTCCAGTGACTGCTTTGTGACACAACCAAAATAAGTGTCTGCCCATAGAGAATTCTCTGCTTGGACAAAAGGTCAAAGCCAGACACAGTTGTCCTCCAGTTTGATGTCAGAGTTAGGCTACGTACTTGGAATCCTCAACATCTGGGAGTCTGGGGAGTGGGTGCCTGGCTCTGACCCCAGCGCTGATGGCCGAGTCTGAAGGCTTGTTTCCCACACAGTCCCCATTCTTTCTGGCACATAGTCCATCCCCTCCTCTCTGGTCACCACACCTGCATCATCTGCTACAGAGATCAGCAGGCCACAGAGCCAGCTCACAGGCCACCTTTGTAAATGAGGTGCTCCTGGAACACAGCCATACCCTCACGCAGCTACAGTAGACAGAAGTCATCCCCACAGAGGCCAGAGGGCCAGTGCGAAAGCTCTGCTTCCAGCCCAATAGCATCAGTTAGCCATTCCTGGGTCTCCTCAGCCCAGCCCTCGCACACCACCTGGGAACAACCCCTTCCACAGGCAACACGGCATGATTCCAGCAGACAGTGACTGGCATACGATGTGAGGCAGGCCAGGAGAAGTCCTTCTGGTTGTCTGTGGGGGCTTCTTGCTGCAAAGATTACAGAATGTGAGTCTAGTACAGTGCTGCTGTATGGAGCAAGCCAGCTCAAGAATGAGGCCAATTCAAAAGACACAGGAGAGAGAGAGACCTCGGAGACATTATATGGGCCCCTGGATCCAGCCATGCCTGAAAGCCATTGTCCCTGGATTTTTCCCTAACAAGGCCTTGTGCTGGGTTGTCACACATAGTGCACAGGTTGTAAAAGCAACTCTGGGATAACGGGATTTCCACAGTAGCCTTATCTCCTCCTAAGTGGATTTCAAAGCTCCTGACCATGGTAACAGGACTCTATCTAGCCTTGTATAAACCAAGATGCCTAACACACAGCAGGTACTCAGAAATAACTACCAAAGAAACTGAGAGTGACTTTACAATTGGATGGTCAGCACCTCCAGGTTCAATTCCTACACACTGCTTAGTCTATTTTGTAGTTTCAATAATGAATACAGAACCTAGGAAGTACTGAGTTACACTCCTAGATCTTTTTGTTTTGAGATAGGGTCTCGCTCTGTACCCAAGCTGGTCTCACACATGATCCCTCTCCTGTCTCTGTCTCTGAATAACTGGTATTACAGGTATGTATCACCATACCTATCTTAGTTTGGTTCATTTGTTTGTTTGGTATTACTGTGTAGTCTAGGCTGACCTTGAACTAGTTATGTAGCCCAGGCTAATTTCAAACTCACGATCCTCCTGCCTCAGCCTCCCAAATACTAGGATTATGGGTGTGCACTATGACCCCCAGCTCAGTCTATTAAATACAAGATGAAGTTCCCTGTCCTCATAGCCTTGGCATTCTTGTGACCCCAGGTAGACAGAACCACACTCCACACTGGGCAGCAAGCACTGCATCATCTAATGAGTTGCCTTCACCCAAATCCCAACCCTGTGCTCACCTGTATGGTTCAGGCTACAAGTTACCATCACGGGGAGGGTTCCCTAGCATTTCTCAACATCCAATCAGGGCAGGCTGTTTGTATCATGGAAAGCTCTGGAAGGGTCCCCATCACCAACTTAGGGACTCTGCGAACACCTTAGGGGCAGCGAGGAGCACGCACAAAGCTCTCACTAGTGTACTAAGATTGTTATGTCCCGATCTCTCTCACTCTTAATTACAGCCCTAGGAGTTCTTTTACTGTTGCCACTTTCCAGACAATAAAACCAACACCAAAACAAGGTGAAAGGACCTCTTAGCATTTATGATCAACAACAAGCCTCAAACATTCTTAAATATTTCCCCACATGCAAATTCATCCCTCTCCCCAAACAACCCTATGTAATAAATAGTATTATCACCCCATTTTACACATGGGAAATCAAGGCACAGAGATATCCAACAATTTGCCCAAGGTCACAGAACTAGAAAACTGTAGTGGAAATAGGACCTAAATGCACAACACCTGACACAGAGCTACTTTGCTGCAGAAATATTTGCTACCTCAGTTCACAAATTTAATTTTTTCCACAAGAATCATGGGATGGATTCTGTGACCACAATTGTGGAACCAATTAAGTTTGTGAACCAAACTTGCTTCTAAGAGGGGAGAATGAGGGTCTTGCTGGGGGATGGGGCTCTAGGGATCTTAACTCAAGGATTTAGCTGACATAGGACTGGCTGGCCACCTAAGGGCTCCAACCTTGAGCCTGGCTACATCTCTCTTTTTGCTCCCACCCCCAGCTATATGTTAGAGGTTGTACTTGACAGCTCCTAGGCCTTTCCCAGCCATAGACTCCCTGCCTCTCCAGCCACGGAGAGGTGGACCAGAAGCTAAGAAGCTTCAAAGCTGTGTTCCCAAAATATCCGAGCAACTGGCAGATGGAGATGCTGTATGCAGGCGAGGGAGGAGAGAGGATTAGAAATAAAATGAAAGATGCCAGAAAGAACATAAACAGCATTGGAGGACAGGATGGGGCCTGGAGGTGCTTTCCCACTTCCCTGAGTTTCAAGTTCTCCATCAAACTAGCAAAAAGGTACTTGCTTGTTTGTTCTAGCCACCCATGTATGCAACTTGTATTTATTGAGTATCTACTAGGTGCCAGCCCTGAGCAGGTGTTAGGACAACTTATCATACAGCCTGGGATGGAAACCCAGAAGAATGCAATGTGCACAAATGCCTTTTTCTGCTTGGAATGACACCCAGTACGACTAAGGCCCACTAAACCCAGCTGGACTAAAGACACCACCCCTCTGCCCTGCCAGCTGGTTTCAACAGCTTGCCAAATAAAACAAGTGGCCTAAAACACCCCCCATCTGCAGCCATGATGTCTATAGAATCTCAGCCTTGCTCTCTCTTACCCTCTCTCATAACCCTAAATCCCCTCTCAGAGAGACAGAGAGAGAGAGAGAGACAGAGACAGAGAGACAGAGACAGAGACAGAGACAGAGACAGAGAGAGAAACAGACAGGCTTCTGAGGTTGATTTCAAAGCAGTTTTACTCACAGCCAGGGAGGAGTCTGGGCTGGGAAAGGTCCCAGAATTTCAACTTCATCCTCGCTTGACTGGCAACAGCTGGACTCGTAGCACTTCTGACAGCAATGCCGGCAGGTCCATCTGCACAGCAGCAGATCAGAGATTCTAGAAAGAACACCCTGAGGCCAGGCGGGCAGAGGGTGCAAGGGAGGGGCAAAGGTAGGCAGGCAGGAAGGTTAGAGAGAAGGAAGAGGAGAAACAACACCCAAAATTACAAGCAGCCCAGTCCTGCAAGAGACAAAGACATTCAGGAGTTCTGCTTCCACTGCTAGCATTTAGAACAAAATGTTTCCCAGTCCTATTTACCAACAGTGGGCACAGATTGGCAAACATGAATTCGGCACAGCCATTCAGAGCAAGCAAAACATTTGCAGGTATTTTCTTCTGTAGTTTATGCAAAGGTCTTTCTTGACATTTGGATGTTTTATACAACATCAGGGCCAGACAATATGTTCTTGAAACACAATGAATATTACTCTCCTCTCGCAAGCAAAGAAAAAAATATTTAAAAATAGTCATCTCAGTGACATCAAAGTATACAGAGAGAGTTAACGGAATAACGAGGGGTGAGGAGGGACACTTGTCTTGCCAATTAGCGTCCTTTCACTGGGATCTCCTTTCTGTGCCCTTATCAACATCCGGTGATTAAGACTCAATATCCCCACAACCTCATGTAAGCCTCCAACATGAAAGGCAAACATTTCTTGATTAGAAACCAGACCACACATATTGAATTAACCCACCTCGTTTAGTGGTTCCAACTGCCCTTTTAGAGATCCACGATGAAGCCAGGGGGTGGGAGGGGGTGAAGGGGTTACAAAGAGAGAGAGAGACAAGACCAGTTTAGCAATATTCCAGCAACTCGAAAAGGAAAACAAGCAAGCAAAAGCACCCTGCATCCTTCCACTTACCATCCTGGGGAGGCAGCTGACTTGCTAACAAGGTATTGCTATTCTCGGGGCTGCTGGTAGCCTTCTGGTTAACCAACACCAAATGAATGGGCAACTTTAGCATTTCGATCTGATTTGCACCGTATGCTGTTATGAATCAGAGCGGGTGGATAGATAGTCATGCTATCCAATGCAGCCACACTTCAGGGGAATCCCAAACCTTCCTATACAGAAATAGCCATGAAGCCAACCCAACAGGACATGATTAGCTAACAGGCACAGAGTGGCTGTCACTTGGCTCCTCCGCCCTCCCAGAAGTCCTACCTTCCAAGTCTGCTCCAATGGTGATGGTGGGGAGTTTCATATGACCACCCACTAATAGGGGGAATCAGCCAGAAAAGCCAGCGCTGGTCCTCAGGGGGAGGGGGGAACCTTCCTCCCTCTTTTGGCCCCACCCCCACTCCATATTCTTCTCACAGGTTGCTTGGGCACAGACAGACTCCTCTTCCAGTTAAGACGGTTTTTCCCCTTAAATAAGCCAGGTAGGTTACAGTTCTGTGTTGCAGCCCAGAAATGAACACAGTTGGGGGCCAAACTCAGAACTTTGAAATCAAGGGGACCAAGTTTATTGTCTTTTTCAATTACCTCGCTTGCAAGAAAAAGAAAGTCTCAGTCTGGTCTCATGGCTCACCCTTTACCTCACACTTCCTTTGAAACAAAGAAAGCAGACCCCAGCTCGGCCATACCCCTCCCCTGTACAAAATTAATAATATGTGTTTATTTTTCCAATTGCCTTCTGCTTATATCACATGATCCTGGTTTCATATTACCATAATGACATAAAGTTTCCTCTTTTCATGTGTTTTTTTTTTTTTTTTTTGTCTTTTTTGAGACAGAGTCTCACTATGCAGTTCAGGCTGGCCTTGAGCTCACTTGGTAGCCCAGGCTGGTCTCGAAATTGTTTTTATATGATTTTAGAATTTAAAAAATGAGGTCCATTTATTGTAAAAAGTTAACAATAGTGGCATGTGGCTAGCAAAAAATTCATGATCCTTAAGGTGGTAAAGGATTAACTGCAGCTTGGGAAACAGTCAGAGACACTAATCCTCCAAAACCAAAACTCAAACCACAAACTACACAAGATCTGCAAGTGGTGATGGACCACACAGGGAGCCATGTGGGGAAATCCTAGCCATCCTGGCCTCATCACAGCCACCCATCATGTGTGTTGAGCAAGTCTGGGGTCTCTCTGAGCACGTTTTGTTTTTTCTCCCTCTGTAAAGGGAAGCTATTGAGATGAGAAAGGAGGCTGACTGTGAAAATGCTTGTGCTGCCCAGCTGCGAAATAGTGTGCCCCTTCTGTGGCTTATGAGAACAAAGTGGCTGTCAATACCTGCTAGACGGTAGCAGGTACCATGAGGGTCCTGGCAGGTAAGCAGTGAGTCAGCAAAGGGCTGCATTTCCATGGGGCTCCCCTGAGAAAGTGCTATGGGTTTGGAACAAAGTCATACTCTCCCACAGCAACCCAGGCCCATGCTCTCCACTTAGGGGAGTGTTTCCCAGGTACAAGGTGATCAAAAAAGAGCTACAATAAAATCACAACAGACAGAGACAAGGCCATCTGTGTGACTCTGTCAAGGTACAAGATGAGTGTCTGAGAACAGAGTACCCAAGGAAGGAGTTCAGGCCAGATGCCCCCAAGATCATAGGCTTGGTAAGGCTCCTCACAGAACTGACAGAGTCCAGAAAGCAGAAGAAAGGAGAGTCCACATATCCTAACAGCAGTTGCAAGCCCAGGCCAAATCCCCAGGCCTATTTCTACACAGTCCTTGAGCTAAGAATGTAAGAAGGTTTTTACATGACTGGGAAAAATAAAATGATTACTATTTCTGGATTTGTGTGAGGTATATAGAATTCATATTTCACCATCCACAAATTAAGTCACCCCCCACCCCAGTACTGGTAGTGATATACTGCAAACATTGTATCACTGAACTGCAACCCAGGCCTCACTCAGTTTTATTAGGACACAGCCACGCCCACTCGTTCACCACCCATGGCTGTTCAGCAGTACAGTCAAAGTTGACTTGTGACAGGCAGAGAATATCTGGGCCTCAAAGAAAAAAGTGTTTACTCTCAGGCACTTTATAGAAAAGGTTCAACAGTATCATTGGTCCTCCTTATACAAAATGCTTAAGACATCCCCTATGCATCCCCACCATGCATGGTTTTTGTTTTCTTTTCTTTTCTTCTTTTTTTTTGAGACGGGTCTCGCTATGCAATTCAGGCTGGCCTTGAGCTCACTTTGTAGGCCAGGCTGGTCTCAAACTCCCAAAGATCCTCCTCCCTCAGCCTCCCGAGTACTGGGATTACAGGAGTGCACCACACCGTGCATGTTTTAGATCTCAACTGGCCCCTAAGAAACTGTGCAGACTTGAACAAGTGGTAATTTCTCAGGGCTACACGCCCTGAGAAACTAAGAACCGCGGAAGAAGGTTGCAAGGTTCATCTCTCACTAGGCTGAGCATTCATCCAGAGGGGCATACACTGTGCTGTGTGCACCAAGGGTTGATGCATGATTGGTGGTTATTGTTTGCTGGGTGACTGTTGAATGGTGCCCCAATAACGTTCAGTTCACAAGGTGCACAGTGAATGTGACCTTCATCGAACTTGAAATGAGAACCTAGGGACTCCATGAAAGGGGAGCCAATCCAGGGGCTCTAAGCCAGAAGAGGAGTGGGGCAGCCTCGGCCAGGTGACAGACCATAGTTTCTGGCAAGCTGAAAGTCTGAGGACAAGATGCAGGGATATGTGTGCCAGAGCAGAACTAGGGGATCAGCAGTCTCCAAGCTGACACTGAGGGGACAAGCTGTGAGCCCTTGGATGCAGAAGCCTGTTGGCTTGCAGCCCCAGAAGCAAGCAGCTTAGCGGGTCTGATTGTGTGACCTTGGCACTGACCTATCGCTGATTCTCTCCTAGCAGCCAAAAAAGCAGCCCAGTCCAGCCCCAGCTCCCCAAAAAGGTCTCAGAAACAATTTCAGCCCAAGATTATTGGGGAAGCTTCTTAAAAGGGTCTACAACTGGCAGACCCCAATCCAACAGGCTAAAGTAACTAGCTCCTACCCTCACCAGTGCGCTCTGGCCTCTGCGTGTCCCCCAGTCCTGGACACTCAGCGCCCAGGAGGGACGACGTCCTTGTCCCTCCTGGCCAGAACAGCTGCCTCCAGCTCGCTTCACCGGCCAATTAGCCGGAGCTGTCACCACGGCAACGGCAGCTGGCGGGCCGGTGGCTGGCGCGCCCCGGGCCGCGGCCCCTCCCCTGGGGTGGGGTGCCAGGGAAGGGAAGGGAGAGAGAGGGAAGGGAGGGCAAGGGGAGAAAAGTCTGCCCCACCCCCATTCTCTCCGTGGGAGGCAAGGGCGCGTGGCAGACAGACCCTCCACCCTGGAATGGGGGGTCCCCTGCTTCTCCTCCTGGGGCAACAAGCCGCCGCGCACAGGTTGCCTGCGCTCCGCATCCTTTTTCCGCAGGCAAGTTTGTAAGAGCCTAGGCACGCGCCCTCCCTTCCGCGCGCTCCCGGCCGGGCTGGGGGCGGGCACCCCCACCCGCATCCCGCACCTTGCCCAGCCTCAGCCCTACCTGGATGTACGCCATTTTCGCCCGCGCGCACTCACTCCGGCCCGGGCATGGCGCCGCCGCCACCACTTTGCCCTCGCCAACAGGGGAGGGGGAGAGAGCCGGGGGGAAAGGAGAAAAAAGGCAGCCGGGTGGCCCCAGACGTGACTGGCGTGGCTGATGAGCGGCGCCCGCCCCTCCGCCGGCCGCCCCGTCCTTGCCTTCGCCTTGCGTTCGGGCTCCCAGAGCCGGGGCCGCCTCCCCGGTCGGCAGAGCTCACGCGCCGGGGGCCCCTGCCTCAGCCTCCTTCGCTGTCCCGCGCCGCTGCCCCCGAGGCGCTGCCCAGGCTGGCACAAGGCCGGGGCGCCTGGGCCGGGAAGCTCGGGGCAGCCACGGGCACTGCAACGACCCCGGCGCGGGCGGGGCCGGAGCTGCCGGGGCCCAAGCGCGCGGGAGGGGGAGGGTGGGGGACACGGGAAGGGGTGGGCGGGGGCGGCGCACAGGTCAGCCCAGCCGGCGGGCCCCGGAGCCGGCACCTCCCGAAAGCGGGGCCCCGGGGCGGCCGTGAAGCCAGCGGGCACAGTGCAGCCCGGGATAGGGTCTGAAGCTGAGAGGGTCTCTCTCCTCCAGCCCTCTCCCCAGTCGGCTTGGGAAAACTTTACTCCCGCCCCCACCCGACGCGCCTAGAACGGTTGCGGTAAAGTAGACAGAACTAAGCGAATCGGAACCCCAAGCTAACGTGGGCGTGGGGCGCCCAAGAAAGTCGCCGCAGCCGCGTGCTGCAAGGGGCGCGGAGAGAGCGAGAGCCCCTTTGCACCGAGCCTGATTGAGTTGCGCCCCGGACGCAACAGGTCTAGCGCGGGGCGGCCCCGCAGCGCCACCCAGCGGCCTGCTCCGCCTTGCGTGCGCCTCGGCCTGCTAGCTGCCCAGCTCCAGCCAGCGAGCTTTGTCCCTGGGGAGTGTCCCCCTCCCGCCTGCCTACGTGGCTGGGGCGCCTTGGACCCCAAGGACTCCACCAAATCTGCCAGTCCAGGGCCTGCCAGCTCTCAAGGCCAGACAGGTCTGGTGCAGGTCTCCATGGAGAGATAGGAACGTTGCCTTCCACTGGTTCTCTTTTTTAAATAAATGCTCAGCCGTCTCCTGTTGCTAGTCACAAGCTTTATTAGCCTTGTAACTTTAACCTCCCAGTGCTGCTTGTATTTTCATCAGTAAAAATGGGGTAAAGTCTCTGCCATGCAGGAAACAAATGAGAAAATGAATGCGAAAATAATAAAGCATGTTTCTTCTGGGTAAAACTCTAGCACATGTATACATTTTTTAGTACTGTATGTTTAATTTGTAGCACAGCGTATAACATGTTAATTGTTATAATGGGCAGGCATAAGGCCGGCAGCATGTGGGCACTGTCATGTCATCCTGGTGCCCTAGTACCTCTAGACAGAGCCTGAGCAGAACAGCCCGCAGCAAAGGTTTTTGTTGTTGCTGTTGACTGTTCACTCCATGAGGGGGTGCTGGTTATCCCCAAATTACAGAAGAGGGACATGAGGTACAGAGAAGCTTCTACCCAAAGACAGGACTGCTGACCTTGGCCTTTCAACCTACAAGTTGCAAACTTAACCACCTTCCCATGTTTATCTCTAGTATTTTCTCTAGCATGCCTGGAAAAAGGCGCTTGGTGAGAA